AGGCCGTGGTCCCTGCTGCGTCTGCGTCAGGAGCCCGCGCCGGCCCATGTGTGGCCGCGGGAGGTTTCCGAGGAGCGCTCGCCAGGCTGCTGCAGACAGGAAGGGGCACTTGTGCGTAAAACTGAGCAAAACCCAACTGCCGAACTGGAATCAGCGGTACTGCAGTACATTCGGAGCGTTGACTTCAGTCGGTTGGGTTCTGCAGCTCTCGGGTTCTCAGATGTTGGCGCGTCGTGGTTTTCGGAGAGGCAGCAGCGAGGGCCGGCGTGTCGAGGAGGCGTCTGTCGCCGCATCGCCCGTCAGGCAGCGCTGGCGGTGTCTCGTCTCTGGGCTGCACCCAGCTGCAGGCAAGCTGCCCGTCTCCCCGCACACGGGAAAAGCGTGTGCCCTGAGGCAGCCTGGAACGCAAAGGCCGTCCCACGTCCCCCGGCTGCAGGCACCTCTGCGCCTGTCCTCCCCACCGTGCTCGGTCCCAGCGCTGGATTGCTGGCTGCCGTCTCACCAAACGGTGAAAGAGGGGATCGTAAATCCCAAGAGTCTCCGATTCCATTTTGGGCTTGGGAGAGAAATGAAGTTTAGAATGTAGGCCGGTTTTGGTCCATCCTTTTCCAAGCTGATTGAGTAACAGCTTTGTTGCTCGACAGTCCTCTCTGTCTCCACTCCTTTGGCTTACCACCCAGCTCATCTTTCTTACCCCAGTTATCCTCACACTGCTTTTCTGGGCTTGTGAAGTCCTGTTCTTCACTTCTTCAGCAGCAGGCAATGAGGTGAATGTTAGTAACTCCAGCAGCACCTCTGTCTAAGGAGATGCTAACGTTACCAATGGGCATTAGACTGCCATACATAAAACCAAGGACCAACAGAAGCGACGTCTAAGGAGCGCGGCAGGTGTCTAGCTGGAGTCGAACCTGTTGTGGAACAGAAAAGTACAGGTGGCAGCAGGGACAGTTTTAGTATCTAAACATCTTGCAGGGGAGGAGCCAAGTAGAATATTTGCATTCAAGACCTACCTGCTGCTGAAAAATTTACTTTTGTTCAGTTTGCTGGTAGTTTAGTTTGTTGGTATGCATTGAAATTATCTGTGAAATAGAGCGGGGGTAAATCAATCAGAAGTGTGACTTGCTGTCACATTTTGTACCTCTTTTTATCAATTTAACTCAATTTCTCCCTGTCTTCTGAAACGTTCTGGAGCTGCTCGTAAAGCAAGGTGGAATTCATGAGGCTGCATGCGTAGGGAGCAGGGAGCTGCAGTGCTCCGTGTTGCGCAGTGGCTGTTGCAGTGTATGAGTATGTCTGTAAGGCGCACTAAAATGCGCAAAGTTAAAGAGCTTTAAAGTTTCCTCCTCTGTGGAGGCCTCTGTTTTCCTCGGGCTTTAGCTATTGCAAGCTTGATAAACGAGCGTAACTGTGGGCATAACTAATGTACTCTTTCTTTTGAATTCCTCCTTACAGCTCAACATACTGCCGTCCTTTGGTTTTCTTTTTGAAATTGATGGTGTACTGGTACGAGGAAAGACTCCAATTCCTGAAAAAAAAGCAAAAACAGCCTTTCAAAAACTAGTGAATTCTCAGGGACAGTTCTTGGTGCCTGTAGTATTTGTCACCAATGCAGGGAATTGCCTTCGCCAGAAAAAAGCTGATCAGTTGTCTCATCTGCTGGGAGTTCCAGTGAGTAGCTGAAATCCTGTTTCTTTCGTTATTTACTTATGGTGAATGTGTCAAATGTATTGTCTTCCATGAAATGCTGCTCGCTTAAATCTGCTTTGTTTTTCCCTTACGTCCCTGAAATGCTTTGCTGGAGGTATTATAATAGTAAAAAATGCTGTCCAAAGCTAGTGATGTTCCGTTGGTAAAGGCACTGATTTTTCCAGTGGCAAAGCTCACGGCAATGGTATTTCCTGGCAGCATTATTATTGTGGGAATAAATCTTGCCTGCTCCTTCTGAATAAAAAAAACGTGTGTGCCAGTAACATGCAGGTCTGCTCCAGCAAGCTGAATGTCTGCTGTGACAATGTGCAAGATGGGAGCTTCCTGCTTCTTTTGATACAAGCGGTGACACTTCATTCCGCCTCCCGCACCCCTGCACCCCCCGCACCCCCGATTTGTGGGCGCTGCAGGCAGCAGTAGGGCTTGCCTGTTGTTGGAGGCTGCCTTTGGGCATTGCTGAGATGAAGCCTGTTGTGGGTTTGCGTGGCAAGGTTTTGGTAGCGAGGTGGCTGCTGTGAGAAGCTGCCAGAAGCTTCTCCCATGTCTGATAAAGCCAACGCCCGCCAGCTCTGAGACAGACCCGCCGCCGGCCAGGGCCAAGCCAGTCAGCGACGGTGGTAGCGCGTAGATAACATATTTAAGAAGGGGAAGAAAAAAACTGCGGTGAGACAGCAGTGTAGAGAGAGGGGAGAGATGATGTGAGAGAAACAACTCTGCAGACACCAAGGTCAGTAAAGCAGGAGGAGGAGGTGCTCCAGACGCCGGAGCAGAGAGCCTTCCTGTGCAGGCACAGTGAGGCAGGCTGTACCCCCGCAGTCCCTGGAGGTCCATGGTGGAGCAGATCTCCACCTGTAGCCCGTGGAAGGGACCCCACACCGGAGCAGGGGAATGCCTGAAGGAAGCTGTGACCCCGTGGGGAGCCCACGTTGCAGCAGGCTCCTGGCAGGACCTGTGGACACGTGGAGAGAGGAGCCCACGCCGGAGCAGGTTTGCTGGCAGGGCTGGTGACCCTGTGGGAAGGGACCCACGCTGGAGCAGCCTGTTCCTGAAGGACTGCACCCCGTGGGAGGGACCCACGCTGGGGCAGGTCATGAAGAGCTGCAGGCCGTGGGAAGGACTCACGTTGGAGAAGTTCATAGAGGACTGTCTTCCATGGGACGACTCCACGCTGGAGGAGGGGCAGAGTGTGAGGAGTCCTCCCCTGAGGAGGTAGGAGTGGCAGAGACAACGTGTGATGAACTGACTGCAATCCCCATTCCCTGTCCCCCAGCGGTGGTGGGTAGGTGTGTCTAAGATTCACTTTTATTCCTCGTTATGCTACTTTGATTTGATTGGTAACAAACTAAACTAACATTCCCCAAGTTGAGTCTGTTTTGCCCATGACAGTAACTGTTCAGTGATCTCTCCCTGTCCTTGTTGCCCTACAGTCCGTTCTGCAGTGCCTTTTGTTTCAGCAGGGCCAGCAGATGTGGGCGTATCTGTGTCAATAAAAGCCTGTGTGTCACGGGTAAAATGACATCTCAATTATTTTGAGGTTTTTTAAAGATCTGTAAAGGTGTAAGTAACGAGTCATAATAGCGTCCTTGCAGGATAATAATGTTACTGGGTTTATACCTGTTGAAGGAATGGGGATATGTAAACTAAAGGAAGAAGGTCTTGTGATACAATTAAATCAATGCTGCAGTCTAGCAAAGGGGCCACAGCTGGCACTAGGGCAGTGCTGATTCTTCTACCCTCTTTGTTTGCTAAGTGAATTTGGTGATTCAGTACAACTAGGAGAGAAAACAGTGTGTTCCTGTGGGACAGAGTAATTCTGGAAGCTGAAAGGGGGGCGTGTGGCAATTTGTCAGTAATGTATTTGTTTCTGTCATATTATCAGTATGACGTCTGCGAAACTTAGGAGAAAATGATATGGTAGGGTTTTAGGTAGATACGTATGATTGTTTCGTAATTCATAGGATTTGTCACACCTGTTAATTAAATCTACATGTAAATAACTTATCTGAAAAACAACAGACTCCTTTTGTTTTTAAATCCCAAACAGATTTCGCAAGATCAAGTCATGATGTCACACAGTCCTCTGCGGATGTTCAAACGTTATCATGAAAAATGTGTTCTCGTATCTGGACAAGGACCACTTCTTGATATTGCTCAAGAGTATCTTTTTTATAAAAAACAACTTTCTGTTTAAGTATTTTCCTTATCCAAGTTCAGGGGATCCTGTGGATCAAGTGAAGACCAAATATTTCAACACTACAAATCCAGTAATAAGCAATGGTAGTTCCTACTATGGTGTCGAATTTATGTTTTGGAGATGGTTAGGGTGTTGATATTTGCTTCACTTTGTTCTGTCAGGTTTTAATGAGGAAAAAAAGGGAAAGAATGACTGTTTGGACGCTTTAGCACAGAGGGTTTGTGCTCTCTTGAGGATGAGAGCATGCCATTCTATCTATTATTTATCGCATCTGACGTTTAGCTCAGTGACTCCAGATCTGCTTGTAAGCATGTGGCCAGGCCAGGTCACACTGGTTTTGTAACCAACATCTAGAATAGAACTATACTTGAAAATACCGTGCCGTTTCTATGCTAACTGCCAGGAAGAACTTGAATTGTGCTGGTACAACAGCGGTATCGAAGCTTCAGACTGTAATTTAATGACCTTAACTTTTGTGTAATCTTCACTCATGCTTCCAGTAACTCCTTTCTGCACTTCTTCCTTTATTGGGATTTTAATGAAAGTTGGTGTAAATCAGAAGTTGTAAAAAATGTAAAGGCGACTTTGAAGAATAAGCTTTATTTCAAAGATGAGAAAAAATTACTGAAGGAACATTGCAGTTAACTGTCAAAATTTGTTAGGCACGGCTAAGAGAAAAGTATATTACAAGACTGAATACAAAACAGAAAAAACATATTTCTGTCAGATAGCATTTTCATACGGGATAATCTTCTCTTCAAATAACTTTACAAGTGGCCTGTGGTGTTATTTCCAATACAGAATCAGGTGGCTGAGTTTGTATAACTGAGATATTTAAATAGCTCTTACTTTCATTTGCATTGTAAGAAATTGCCTACGTATTAAGAGTAGCATCACAACTGCTTTTTACATAAATAAGCAGTTTTAGTTTGATTACCTCTTGTTAACTATGTTTAGATTAATGGGATGTGTCAGCATTTAAGAGCACTACTATGCAAATCAGGAGGTTATTTTTTCCCTTTTGGTCCCTTCCTTTTTTGATGTGTTTCGGTATTTATCTTCGCTACCTACCGAGCGTAATTAAAGCTGCTTGGTCAGTCCCCCGTTCTGCACGAGACTGAGTTTTACGGTGTTCGTGTATCTAGCAAGACGCTTGCAGCTACGCTGGCCTAAGGAAAGCACAGTTTGTGGAGATGGTATTTTTTCCTCAACCAACTCATATTTCTTACCTATAATAATTACACAAGATGTCTTGCTGCCAGATAAACTTCTTTCTGTGCTTATGTGAAGATGATCTTGGAGTATTGCAGGTGTAGAGCGGCTGCTTGCTTTTCATCTCGTATTTTGAGAAGGACTTATGTGTATTTGCTGTCTTGAGCTTTCAGACACACAGGTCTCCCACTGATAAATAATGGGATGATCTTTTTATCTCACAGGAGAAAAAGTCAGTCTTTGATATGTTGCTTTCTTTCCTAAATAATCTGCCTTACCAGATAAACAGCATATGTTAAAATTGTTGAAATTGAATTACCGATTTCTAAAATCTTTTAATATAAGCAGCTCTGTATCCTTAACTGGTATTTTCCCAGCCTTGGTTTCTGTCAGCCTATTACCATTGAAACGTTGCGGGAGAAACACCCTTTGCTGGATGTAGTTGACCATGACAGAAGACCTAACGTTCTGGTGAGTGTATATTTTTGGTTTAAAGTTCTTTGTTTGCTCATTAGAGAACATTCTATAACAAGGGTCAATATTTAAAATACCGAGCTAATGCTGTTGTTCTTACATTGTATTTTGACTTTGCTTTTCTGCTTCTTTATTTGTTTTATTACAGCATTTTCAGGAACAACCGTATAGACCTTGTTTTCTATCAGTGGTCATTCTTTAACGTGATCTTGGATTTTGTAACTTACTGTGGTGGGAAAAATTATAATTTAATACAGATACCTAATTCAAAATCTGTCGTGGAAAGCTTATTAGCTTCCTCAGATGTGTGGAAGATAAATTAAGCTTTTTCCTTCAGTATAGGATTGTCTTGGTATTGTTTCTAGGCTGTGAGGTTGCTCTGATTGTAAATTAGTGCTTTGCAGATAACAAATTTTTCTCCAAAGGACTCCCTTTCTTGTTTATACCATTATTTGAATATATTTAAATATTAACAGTACATACAGTACGGTTTCAACTGAATTGTGCAGAATTTCGAAAAGAAGTGAACACGTACACCGTAAATACGTGCATGTATTGTACATATTCAGAGTCAGCAGACAGGGTGGATTTTTCCCATGTGAAGTCAGGAAATTGTCTGTGGTTCCTAGAATCCAGCTCTCAGTTGTATCACCTTTTGCCGTGCTTCTCAAACATGTGGATGTAGAAGTTCAGGAAACTGTTAATGTATTTGTCACCACAGGGAGTAAATCATGAAGTGCAAACTCTTGTTTAGCAAATATATTATGTGCAATACAATGTATTTTTCTTTCTTAGCAGTGTTAAAGAAATACATTTCAAAAACTATGTTTCAAATGCTGTGTTAATACTAGAGCCTTCTTACTCCTGTGGAAAAATAAACATCCATACGTTTGTGCATACGTAAATTAAGCAACTGAAGCTTTGCAGCTTGCCAGAGGAAGTTCAACAGCTGTAGGAGGCTGGCGAATGTAGAACAGGCGAACTTGTCTGCTCTCTGTTTCTTTGCCACGAGATTTCACTGCAGAATTGAAATACGAGTTTCTAAGTAAACTGATGTCAGGCATATACCAAAATAGAGAGTGCATTTCCTGCCAGTGTTGTGGAAGGCAACTGTGGGAGCTGTACTTGAATTTATTCTGTTAAAAGAAATAGTAGTTGTTTAATCTGGTAGAAAACTTTCACTTTTTTCTTATTGCAGTACCCCTCTGCTGTGGAGCTTCCCAAGATTGAGGGTCAGTTGTCTTTCTTTAACTTGCAACTATCCATTAATAGATGAAATATCTTTATCGTACTTTATAATTAGAATTTATTTTAGATTGCTGGGCACTTCAGATAGTTGGCTGAGACAATTCTAACATTTCTTTGTTAATGACATCTGCCATTGATTTGGAGTGTATCGCGTGTGATAAAGCTGGTTTTTTGATGTGTGCGGTTTTCAGCCATGTGTTTCTGAAGCTTCAGAAGGTGGGTGAGGTCTGCTTTCCTTTTCATCTTCCTTTAGCAGGCTGTTGTTGCCTTCCTTTCAAAAATGAGGAATGAATCGACGTGTGTTCAGAAGTCATCGGTATTGTTCTTACGGCAGTCGGGATGGTCACTTTGGAGTTGCAGTGTGAGAAGCATCTTGTTTCAGCACACTGTATTCACTCTCATCTCAACTGAAGCACAGGAAAGTAGAAACTGGACTTCAGGATTTAAATAATCCATGACAGATTATTGCCGGAGACCAGAAAAATGTCTAAAAACAATGTTAAAATTTTGTTTTAAGATGAACAAAATAACATCTCCGATGGATTATTTAAACGCTGCATGTAAACATAGAATTCACAAAGGTGTGGAAAACTTAGAAATACAATTCAGAAGTTAATATTTTGTGATGCTGTGGAGAAACTTAACCAACAGAAAAACCCAATTCTTAAATGTGTGGATTTTGTAGTGGCGTTTTGTTACTTTTGAGATTTTCTGTGGATGAGTGGCTATGTAACATATTAAAACCCTATGCTAAAGTTAGTGTGCCTATTTCATCAGTTCATGGTTAAATGAAAATTTAACACTTTAGACCAAGTTTTAGTGTTGGAGATTTGGTGTTCTGTTAACTAATTCCGTAACTCTATTTTATAATTCTTGTTCTTGTAGCTGTTGTTTTGTTTGGGGAGCCAGTCAGATGGGAGACCAACCTGCAGTTGATAATAGATGTTTTGCTGACAAGTGGCTATCCTGGAAATCCGTACCACCATGAAAATTACCCGCACATTCCTGTGCTGGCTTGCAATATGGATCTGATGTGGGTAGCTGAAGCACAGTCTCCAAGGCAAGTCCAAATACAACACGCCTGTGTAGTGCGAGATGATTGGGGTTTCCTCATTTCTTCAGTAAAATTCAGAGTCAATACTTTTATACAGAATGCTTGCGATAGCTTCCCAGTAGGTCTCAGCTTTGAACGCAGCGCCTCTAAAGCAATGGACTTTCAGCAAATGCTGCTTTATTTCTGTCCACATTATTGTATTCAGGAAATCAGTTACTCAAGATAAAAATGGCTTTTAAGCTCTAAACCAATTTGTTTCCCCGCTCCCAGAGAAGAGAGGGGAAAGAGAGGTTTTTGCCTGAGGGCCTCAGAGTCTCAGTTCAAAGGAAAAAATGAAAAAATTATCAAGGCCATTGTTTCATTTCGTTAGGTCCTTTGGTATTTCTCTTTTCCACCCTACAGTTTCTGGTAGGGTAAAGAATTGACCCTGCAAGTTGAAAGCAGTGAGTGTTTTTGAGCGTGTTTTTGAGCCAAGGACAATATAGTGAGCTCTTTAAGGAACCTAAGAAAAAACAAGTAGAACACACAGAATGAGATGGCGTGATCGCTGATCAGGGTTTTGTTTGATTTTGCTTTCAACAGAAGGCACTTCTTTAATAGCTTTGTTTCCCCTCTCTTCCCCCCAGGCTAAAATTTGAACATACACTGAAATAGAAATGGTTGTTATTGCGACTTGATTGCTGGCTTGATCTTGGGTCAAAGATCTTGTCAGATATCCTTCCACCTCTAATTAGCACGTTGGCAAAACATGTGATAGTTCCAGGCTAGAGTAAGGCAACCAATATATCTACAGTGAATGAGATAATGTAGTTTCAGTTGTGTCCTTTGGGAAAGATTGAGCATAAAGTTTGTTTTTCCTTTGACGGTATGACAAGGTTGCATCTGTCAGTGCCATTACCGTCACTGAATTTTTTTTGCTTCCATATTACAAGTGGGTTTTGGTATACTCTTGTGTTTAAGGAGAGATCAATTTTCCTTCTGTCTGACTGCAACTTTCTTTCGCTGTTTCTCTTCTTTGTTAACTTAGTTCATTCTGTTAGGTCACTGCAGAGAGCAGGTCACTGGTATTATTTCAGGAAGCACCACCTTTGGTAACTAGGGCACGTACTTAAATGCAAGTAACACTAACACAGATCAGCGCTACATTTAAAAATAGATAATACTGTTGTGCTGTCCCAATAACATGCTTTTATTGTGGTGTTTCTTCTTCAGCTAAGCAGCACTTAGTTTTCAGTGAAACAGCTGTGGAAATGCTGCATGCAAACTGAGGGAAATTTGATAGGAATAGGATATGTTTTATTCCTAAAGGATCATGAAATAAAAAAGCCTTGTTTTTTTAATCTATGCTTAACATAATTTGATTGGTCTTTATATCTGTGCAGGTTTGGGCATGGGACATTCATGGTTTGTTTGGAAAACATTTACAAGAAGATCACTGGCAAAGATCTGAAATACGAGGCCTTAATGGGCAAACCTAGTAAACTGACCTACCAGTACGCAGAATACCTCATCAGGGCTCAGGCAGCAGAAAGACGATGGAAGCAACCCATTCAAACTCTTTATGCTGTCGGGTAAGATACTGTGGATCTAACGAGTACAGCAGGAAATTACTCGTAACATAAATACCGGCAAAGAAAAATACACAACTCCTACTACTTTGTTTCTCCTGCCATTGGGACCACCTAACATTCTTGGTGCTATGGTGTACTTTTTATTATGTTTTTGAGCCTCGGTGTTTCTAATCTTGAAAATGAATGATACTTGGCTCATTCTGTGCATCATTTCTGTAGAAGGATAAGAACTGTTTTATACGCAACTAAGATTTCTCTCAATTCTTTTTCTTTAATTATTTCTGTAATAGGCAGTGTAAATATAACAAAAAGGATTTGCATGGGTATTTATTAGGTTTACTGGTATAACATCAACAAGCTTTGAGTAAATGACAGTTACTAGGGAGTGTAGAGCTAGAATTTGTGACGTCGTTAAGCTCGGTCATATGCTACTGTGTGTGCTGTCACATCATAGAATCCTTTTCACAGGAAGAGATAAAGCTCTATTGTGTTAAAGACTGTTTCAGAATCTCCAGGATGTTTGGAAATATAATAAGCTCATTCATGGACTGCTAATACCTATCTTTGCTTTCCCCTCCCCCTGCTCTGATCGGCAATTTCAATATGGAGAGTTATTCACTTTTACCGTATTCCATGCTTAAGGAAAATGGTGTAATAAAATAGTTTAGGAATAGGTTTCTTCCTGTCTGCGTACTTCTCCATAAAGTTGTGTAAAGGATAAAATAAGCTGTTAAATCGAAACTGTAAAAATGTCTTTCATACATTGAAATTTGACAATCAAAATTGCGCTGCCAACTAAACTTTCTTCTTCTGTTTCCAGAGATAATCTCATGACTGATGTCTATGGTGCTAACCTTTACAATCGCTATCTTGAAGAGAACTCCAGAAAAGGTTCAAAGCCACGGCTTCAGGCCAAAGCTGCTGGTGGCAGAGGATCTGCTGCTCCCTCCCAGGATGATGAGATAGACAACAGTTGGGAGAATGAATTAGCAGCTGCAGCTGCTGCCCGCTGTAGGTCTGTTCTTGTTTGTACTGGGGTTTACAACCCTCACACAGAGGTAACCTTGGACACCAGGGAGAGCATAACTGAAACGGTGTTCCACGGCCACAGAGATTTTAGATTTGATCCTGGTTTGGTAGAACCAGATCATATTGTACCAGATGTTGATGCTGCTGTAGACCTGGTCTTCCAGCTGGAGAACTTTGCACCCAACTGAGATGACACGATTTCTTAAGGACTACGCAGTGCTGTGCTTTTCTTCCCAAAAAACAAACTGTGCTTTAAAATCATGCCACAAATTGCTGCTTTCTAAAATTTTTAACTTTTAAATTAATACAATCTGATATTAATATACTTACTATGAGTATACTAAATATCAATAATGCTTTTTTAAGTACTTCGAAATATGTCATTTCTTGCTTTAGTTGCCCTTTCTTGTCCTCCTGTTCATTCTCTTAGGTATTTCACTAGCAATTCTTCATAGTGGCTTATGCATATTACTGGTACTTAAATTCCCACATGACAATACCTTCTTTTGTTTGCTGGAAGATGTCACTTCTAGGTATTGGGGATCTTGAGGATATCAGATTGTGGTCCTGGGGTCATTCGTGGGGTGACAAATTGGCTGGTACAGAGCACAACGTCTATTGCTGCTTGGAATTCTGCAAGTAACGGGTGCTCTTTCCCATCAGGGAGAAGTTCAGGACTGTTCTGCTGCTTTGTACTTGCTCACATCTAACCCTGCAGCCTTTCTTTTTATCTGTTTTCCCTCGTGTCTGGAGCCGCCATTGCTTCTCTCTGCTCTGACCTGTAAAGCCTTAACAGAAATGCCCAAGGAAGCTGGAGAAGGCTGAATGTTAACACCGTTCTTGGAACTCCAACCGAGCTGAACGGTCATGTAAGGAAAGCGGCTAACAGTGAGCGCCCTGTGTGGCATAATACCTGGCCTTTTTGTCTTTGCCTTTTTATCTGCACTTTTCTGAGGGATTTAAAATCTTGGAAAGCTTTAGCAATTATGTTTCAGGCGTTTCTGTCAGTTGGACTTTTCCACTGAATGAGCGACTACTGTTTGGGCAAAAAGTGCCTAGTAATTTACTTGAAGCTTCATACCACTGTGGTAATTAACCAGCCTTTAGTGTAATATATTTCATCTTGTGTCAGTGTTATATGTTTGTTGGCTCGTGGATTTTATAGCTGTTCATTTAAAAAAAAATAATTTATTTTCTGTTATATTTGTAAAATACTTTTAAACGTTTTCATCCAAAAGATGTCCTTGAAAATATTTTTGGGTTGATTTGTTATAACGCAGTATATGGTGTACTTGTGACATAAGATCTGAAAACATAAGCCAATTAAGTGTGTTTAAAAACAAAGTCAATTTACGCACAAATATCACTTAACATCACCTTGGGGGCCAGTCAGGTTTTTATGGTGTTCTTTTTTTTTCTCCAAATTAGAAATTGTATGAAAAAAAAATCTGTTCTTGCAGAACTAGCAGAGCGCTAGTTTAAAAGCATTAATAGACATTTGGTGGCAGAAAATGAAATGACTTCCTGACCAGCTTCTTCACTGCTTATTAACCTGAAATTGAAACCTGAAAACCCACATCTTGAAGAGAACATTGCTGCTATGAAGTCAAATGTTTTCTGTTGTGTTGTCTCCATTCGCAAAGCACTGTAATCCCCCTCTCTACTGTCATCATTGTTGACTCATCCACTCGTAATGTTTCGTAAGTAGCTTTCAACATATCTTGCTGGAGCCAGTTTAAGCACACTGCTCTAAACAGTGTATTTCCTGTGTCTTCACTGGGAAAGTATTACAGCAGCACGTTCTTGCCTGGTTTAATTGGTACAATAAACAGATATATACCTCTTTCTTCAGCATTTTCCTGTAATATGACAACTATTTGCAAATTATGCCAAATCTTTCTTAAGTAAAGACTGTAGGTTTGTCAGATGTCCGGGTGACTGAAGTTGTGTTGTTTCCTTACTGATCGAGTTGCAGAGCTCTTTAACTATTATTGGAAGCAGTTTCAGGCTGTCAGTAAAGCAAGGAATAAAAATGTGAAAGCTGAAGAACAGAAAATGCTCAATTTATTTCTTCTTTTTTTTTTCTCAGAATATGCATGAACACTTGAAAAGATTAATGAAGGAAGTGTGTATATACTTTTTAAACTTCGTCCCTCATGGAAACATCAACTTACAATGCATATGTAGGAAAAATTACTGTTTAGCTGCTAATCAGGCTGCTGCTGTTTTTAACTGAAAGGAAGACAGCTGTTTGGTCTATGTCCCCCTTAGGCCATTTAGGCTATGTCTGCGCTGCAGGGTGTGAGTGTTGCTGATGAGTCTGCTTGAGGTCTCTTGATGTGATTCTTCGTGTGAATGTGTGGCTGAGTCCCAGTAGCAGGCTAGGGTGCCACTGGGTTTGGAGCTGTATCAAAACAAGAAACAGGCAGTTGGACAAAGATGATTAATATATGTGGGTATTTCTATAAAACACGAGAGAAATGTTAGCATTGTAGGCATTTGTGCTATACCAGCAAGCTAGGCAAATATTTTGGTGACGTATCATGAAAAATAAATGTTTAAGGAAGGATTTGAAGGAGTGTAGTGAGTTACTGTTGAGGATGTTTACCTGGAGCTCTTGCCAAAGGTGAAGGACCTCACAGCATCGGCTCGCTAGATGCTCCCACAGCTTCGCTGCAGTGCTGAGCTGGGTGCACTGGGACTGGGTTGTGTGCTCCCTAATTAGCACCGCAGCCACACCTAGCACGGATCTAGCACCAGAGCCTGAAAGCAAACCTCTTCCTCAGTGACACGTTCCCATGTTCACGTGCACCCAGCACTTACGCTGCAGTTAGAACTTTGAAACGTTACCGGTATCGCAAACTCCTTGCCAAAGGTCCTTACGCTGTGCAAAACGAGTAGAAAAGCATGTGTGTTCCTCCCTCAGGGAGCCCCAGGCCAGCTTACACTTTAATTTCTGATGAAAACACTTGTGCCAAGACGGCTGGTATGGGACTCAGACAAACCTTGCATTCCACCTGCTTTACTGAATTGGTACTGAACTCCAGCAAAAGACTTGTCATCTTCATCTTTTTACTAATGTGATCCCTCAAAAAGCACACATGGTTAGTGACATTACTACTTAACGTCTTCCAACTGAAGATGCTACATGGACAGACTTCTAAGTCTTTGAATTTTGTGCCTCCTGTTCACTTGGGAAGTGGTACAGATGAGAATTTTTTCTAAAAGAAGTGTCCTAAAGCATTGCACCAGACTTAGCACTGTAATTTCTAACATTTCCTGCTGTGGTACTTCAAAGTGAAAGTTAGTGATTCTTTGTGAGTAACAAGCTAAGATGTGAAAATCCTGAGAAGAAATCTCAATCGCTAGTACTGGAAAGGTGCTTTTTTCAGAGTTCTTAAGGAAAACTGAGTTTAGTAAAATGTTCTTTCTAATTATTCAGCTAAGAGCGAGATGAATTAATATGAGGTAAGAAAAAGACTAAAACTCTCTCAACTTTTGCTTTCCTTGAATGCCCTTTTACCTAGATTTTTAGTTACTAATTTAATATGTTTTCAGCTTTGACATTACCTCTTTGAAACAGACTGTTTCCCACGGCTTGTGTCCTTCAGTCACAGCCTAGGTAAGCTATCTGATGTTACACTGCTGCTTTCAAGTTTAAAATGTATTGCTGAAACACCTCGAGTGACCAGGATGAGCACGTGAATCACTGAAATCACGTCCAAGAAAGATTTCTGAGGATCTTGCTGAAGTTTCTTCAAAGTAGAACTTGCCCTTTGTTTGCGTAGTTTTGTTTTTAGTCTTGATACCTTTTGTTCTATGAAAAAAACCCTTCGAAAACAACCTTTCAAAAATATATCCTGTACTTATTTTTGTGAAAACAAAGCTGACAATATTTTAAACTCCAGTCATGTATTGTCTTCACTATTACGTGTTTCTCTTTAGAAGCATTTTTCAATTAAAGTTAGAGGAATGTATGAGGCTTATATTTTAAGAAAACCAAATTTAATATCTCCTCTTCAATAAAAAAAACCTTGCATTTAAAATTAAATTTTTCATGTCAAACTTGAATACTCTTGAACGTAATGAAAGGAATAATATTTTTGTAGTAGATCTTATGTTTATGAAATCAGTCTTCTACACTTTTTGATGCTACTTGTTATGGAATAATGTTTCCAAATTGCAGATTTTTTTTTAAAAAACATGTCCAGCCAGCGTGTCTTAAAGATGTGAGTAATTCACAATAATCTCTTGCAGTGTTTTGTAGTAGTTTCCTTCTTTCCATAAACTGCTCGATAATTTTTTTCTGGGACAACCCTCCTTATGTTGCGACATCTTACATCCTTCAGCAACACAAACGTGATGATATGCTGTGATACGGTGTCATCAAATCACGTCTAGAAAAATTAAAAATATTCCAGCAGTAGTAGGAGATGAAGTGGCCTCTGCAATGTGGTGGGACTGGCAGACGACTATTGCTAAAAATACTGGAGAAGATCCTCTAAAGGTAATGTATTCACTAAGCTTGGAAAGTCTTCTCGCTGGCTGGCAGCACAGCACTGAGCTCGCTGGGGAGGGTTGAGGTGTCTCAGTCCAGGTTCTGTTAAATTCTGGAAGAACACAGAAGGGCGTACGCGGGGTTTGGTGCAAAGACGGCTGCTTTCACTCGGGGCCGGGGTTCGCCTCTCCACGCCCGTCCGTAGCTTCTGAAGGGGATTTTTTGCAGTTTCAGTGAATTCACCTGTTCTTTGGGCAGAAGACAGGGAAATGCGTATAGTAGAAGATTGCTTTAATTAATCTCCAAATTAAATTCTGGTTCTCTGAGGAGATATGCTTGCCTCCTACAAAGCTTCAAAAATGTACCACGGTTCCCATCCCCCCTCCGTTTTTTTCCTTTTTTTCCATATTGTCGAAGTAATAAAATGCAAAACCGTTGCCCCTACACAGTTCTGCAAGGTTCAGGGTGTTTCAGGTTCTCCGTGGGATGAACCCCAGCCTGGTAAGTGGTAATGTGGGCTTGGCAGACCCTCAGAAAGCCAAAATGCTTAAAAAATTGCAGGAGAGAGTGTTCATAATTTTAGCTTCCTCTCATCTTCACCCTTTCTTGGTTTCAAACAAGTACAAAGCACTTGGTGCCTCACTAGTAATTTTTTCCTCTCGGGGACTGAGACATTGTGCCCCAGGAGTT